AAATAGGTGTGATGTGTGTGTGTGTACAAGATAGATAACTGTACACTAATCTCTGTAAATTCATCAAAAAAGTTTGTGCTTTCATTGTTTGATTTTTTATCATTTTTATGCTTAAATCTTGTAACTCAACAACTCCTTTTAAGATAACAATACACAATATATTGACTAGTGTTAATTTCCTACCTTCTAAAAAATTCTATATCATTTTTATACTTTCTGTTTTACTTTGTATTTAAAATTTAAAAAGATTTTTAAGAAGAAAGAAAGAAACATCTATTGTATACCTTCATTGTAGTTGATGCTAACTGATCACGGGAATACAAATCGAAAAAAACAGGCCGTGCCTTGGGTGGTTTTAAAATCTAACTTGAGAAGTAGGAAATAAATAAAATTTCAAATCAATGGCTTATGTCCAACTTATTGTAATCATATATTTTCAGGAAAGTGTGGCATCCTTGGATAAGTTTCACTAGGTATGACATCCCCTAACTATAATTTCTATTGAAATAGTGGATTAGCTTTCTGTCACTGTAAGAAAATCCATCAGATATCAACTCAATAAGGATCACAGTTTAGGAAGACTCAGTCCATGATTATTTGGCTCTCTTGTTTTGAACCTTTGGTAGCTTGATATACCATGCAGCAGAACACAGCAGACAGCATTCACCTCACGGCAGGAAGAAGCAGAAATGGAGAAGGGACCAGACTCTGGTACCCTCTCCAGGTCACATCTCTACTGACCTCACTTCCTCCTGCTAGGGCCCACCCCCTTAGTGCCCCATGACCACTGAGTAGTACTTTCCACCAATCTCCCCATATATGACTTTCAAAGGAGTCTTACTAAAGCCACACAAGGAGACATTAGGAAAAACATCTTCCCAGAGTGGAAGAAATGAAGACTTGACATTTTCACACATGAACGTTATCTACTTCAAGTTCATGGTGAGGTCAAGCAAGTTTCTGAGTGTAAAACAGTTGAATAATAGACTTGTTAACATAAAACATAGTTGCACTAATATTACTTTGAGATATTTCATCCTAAGCAGTATGTTCATGAATTCAAGACAGTTTAGACTGGATAATTTGGCTAGGCCTCACTTTCATCAGAAGACAAGCTAAGTGATGGCGTATTATTGCATAACTTTGGAATTTAATCCAACAAGCATTTTCCCCAATAAAGAAAGCAGCACTATCTGCCCCAATCATTATCAACCTGACCAATCTCAGATCACTAAAAGTTTGTAAAATGCCACAGATCCAAAGTAAATACAAGATTGTTTTTATCTTTTGATGAATATTAGTTTAATTTAAAGTGTACTGTTCTGCCTAGATAGAAGATAATGTGGGTTTGTGTCAATGTTAACTGATAACCAGAGCTTTACAAAATTATAAAATCTTCTTAATTTCAGAATCACCAGCATTTGTTTCTCTTTGTCTCAAATTTTTAAAAAGATTCAACAAGCCAAAGTTATGTATTTGATATCTTTTTGACACACATATAATATCTTTTTTAAAAAATATAATGATGATGAGTAGTTTTTGATATTAGCTAGAATTAGCTATTAGGTAAAACTGAGTATTGAAGAAACAGCCACTTTTCTTAACACATTACTGATGTGCATGTATGCACTATTGATACTTGAGCTGTTTCTGAATTTTCTATGATTCTGGAGGACTGATTTAAAGATTAATAACTATAGAGGCCAGGGATTTAGCTCAGTGAAACAAGACCCTGCCTGGCAAGTGCAAGGTCATGAGTTCAATCCCTGATATCCAAGAGGAAGAAGGAAAAGAAGAAGAGAAGGAGAAGGAGAAGGAGAGGAATTAATAACTGCAGATAATAGGTTTCTAACACCAGGGAGACAATACAGTGTTTACACATGTGAGACTCAATTATTTCTGTTATGAATATGACCTCAAGTTGCATCCATTTACTTATAAAAGTCTCAAGTATATTCCTCTTTATGGCTGAGTGGTAATCTGTTGTATAAAAAGACCATATCATTTTTATCAATTCCTTGGTTGATGGCACTTGTGATGTTTCCAAGATTTAGCTATTACAAATTACGTTGCTATAAACATGGGTGTGGGGCTGAGGATATAGCTCAGTGGCATAAGTATCTTCCCGGCAAACACAAGGTCCTGTGTTCAATCCCTGGTACCAGAATAAAAAACCAAAAACACACAGATATGCATTAATTACCATCGTATGATGCTTTTAATTCTTTGGAGAAGACCCTCAGAAGCATAATAGCTAGATGTAATGGGACCTCTAATTCTAGTGTTTTGAATAATCTCCGTACTGATTTCCACAAGGTTGCACCAGTCTACACTCCCACCAAGAGTGGAGAAGTGTTCCTTTTTCCTCATTGCCCTTTTGCATTTGTTATTGGGTGATTTCTTGGTAATAGCCATTCTTTCTGGGTTAAGATGGAATCTCAGTATTGTTTTAATTTACGTCTCTCAAATGACCAGTGTTGCTGAACTTTTTTTCATATATTTATTTGCATTTGTATTTCTTCTTTGAGAAGGATAGATGATCTCAAGCTGATAAAAGCCATCTATGACAAACCAACAGCCAATGTCATACTAAAAGGAAAAAACTGAAAACTTCACTCTAAAATCAGGAGCAAGACAAGGATGTTCACTATCATCACTCCTATTCAATAAGTTCTGGAAACAGTAACCAGAGCAATTAGACAAGAAAGAGAAATAAAAGGGATAAGGCTATGAAAGAAAGAAGTTAAATTCTCACTATTCACAGATGACATGGTACTCTACATAGAAGACCCCCAGAAACTCTACCAAAATACTTCTATATTGAATAATCAAATTCAATAGAGTAGCTGGTACAAAGTCAATACATAAAAATCAATAGTAGTCCTGTATACACACAACAAACTCACCGAGAAAGAAATTAAGCAAACCACATCCTTCACAATAGTATCCAAAACAATAAAATACTTAGGAATCAATCTAACAAAGAAAGTAAAAGATCTATATATTGAACATTACAGTACTCTGAAACAAAGAGATTGGAGAGGATATCAGAAATTGGAAAGATATTCCTTGTTCATGGATAGGAAAAATCAGCATAGTGAAAATGGCCATACTCCCAAAATTGTTATACAGATTTACAAGATGTTGATTAAAATACCATTACTGTACCTCACAGAGCTAGAGGAAACATTCCTATCATCCATCTGGAACCAAGAGACCCAGAATAGCACAGGCAGTCCTAGCATCAAAGGTAAAACAGAAGGCTTCACAATCCCTGACTTGAAATTATACTACAAAGCCACTGTGATTAAAACAGTGTATTACTGGGAAAGAAAACAGATCTGAGGATCAGTGGAACAGCATAAAAGATGCAGACACAACTCTAAACTCAGCCACCTTATCTTTGGCAAAGTGTCCAAACACATTCACTGGGAGAAAGACAGCCTCTTTAATAAATGGTGCTGGAAAAATTGGCTTTCTACATGCTAAAGACTAAAATTATATCCAAGTCCATTACTACACACTAAAGTCAAAATGGATCAAAGATCTAAATATTAATACAGAAACATGAAATATACTGGAAGACAAAATAGATAGAAATCTTGAAGACATAAGTGTAGATAGAGTTCATAAACAAAACCCAGATTGCATGGGAAATTCTTCAAAGAATCAACTGAGTTCTCATCTTAGTAAAAAAGCTTTTGCACAGCAAAAGAAATCACCAGTGAAGTGAAAATATAACTCACAGGGTGGAGAGAAATTTTAGCCAATTTTACATTAGACAAAGGACTTCCATCTAGAACATATGAAGAGTTGAAAAAACCCAGATCCCCCAAATTCAAAGGCCACTAAATTCCAAATGTGTGTAATTATTCATTTATCCATCACTTTCATCATTTAAAAGCATTACATGTTTACTATATGCAAGGTAGTTTTGTTGCTGTTGTTTTTAGTGCTAGGGATAAAACCCAAGGCTTTTACACTGAGCCATTTAGCCAGCATGCTTTTATATCATTATTATTTTTCAGCAGAGTCTTGATAAGTTAAAAAGACAAGGGTGGGCTCAAACTTTCAATCCTCCTGCCTCAGCCTCTGAGAGTGCTAGGATAACAGGCATGGTCCACCACACTCAGCTGAATGGTACTTCCTCACTGAACTCTTCTATGCCCAGTGGTTGCTGTTCAAAAATAAGTAGCAACATTGTGCAAGAATTAGTGCAAAGGGTTTGGGTGAACAGGGAAAGCACTTCATTTTAAGATTTCTCAGTTAAATGATTGTTGGTTAAGGAGATGTTGTGGGGAGACCTACAACCATACGTTTTTTCAGGATTTCTTTTGAAGAGAAAAAAACAATAAAAACAGTGACCCAAAATTTCAAAACAAGGTAATAAGAGAGTACAAGGCTCAATACATTGCATATTGTTATCTTCATCAGATAATAAGATATAGGCATGAAAAATTGTAGGGTCTCTAACATTTCCTTTAAACAATTTCCTGTCCAAACAATTAGAATTTTTTTCAATAAACTATCATTTTTTCTTATTTTTATTTAGCATTTAATTCTCCTGGCAACGTTATCTTTCTAGCTTCTGATGCCCAATGCAGAGATATTGGGAAATACGTCTTTACGGTGTAATTTACCAATCACATCTTTGTCTGGAGACATGATTCCTTCAGTATCTTGCACCTAGGGAAAGGCACCCAGTGTCCTGGCTATGGTCTCATTAATTTGCTCTCCTAGAAGCCAGGTACCCCAAGGACACTGCTTTTATTTCAGCCTCTAAATTAGTTGCGGGTGCTGTCCGATCTCCAACACTACTGCCACACTCCTAAGTGCTTAAGATGTTCACAGTTCTTAAAAGAGAATGTATCACCAAAAGAATGCAGTTTTAAAAAAAAAAAAACTCAGCTAGTATGCTGTTAGTTTTTTATTAGAAACACACACATACATGCATATATTTGTTTGTATGTAGGTACAAATGTCATGTGTATATGAAACATAATAATAAAGTACATCACATTACACCCACATTGGAGTTCAAGCTCCAGTGAACAGTGTTGGATTAAATTGAATTTTTTTCTAAGCCCAAATTCAGTTGCTATGGAGTCTTTCTGGGGTAGGTATGCTTTGAAGTAGACACATCTGCCCTGAATGAAAATAAATTGAAGATCAACCATATTCCGCAAGCGGAAACTATTTGAAGTCTCTCTAAAAACAATTTCTCGCTGGGCGGCTTACATCCTTAAAGGCAATCTGTGGCTTTCTCCGGCAGGCATCTCGCCCCCACTCAATTCTTCAGGAATAGATTGCTGAACTCATTGCAGAGACCTGGCTTTGAAATCCATCAGGCTGAAAGTGGCCAAGCCTTTGGGCATTGCCGGACAGCAGGGCTTTGAAGGAGGTCAGAAATCATGAATTTCAAATCCACCCAAGCTGAGAAATGAGGCTCCCAGGTACCGCACAGACTGCATTTCTGAGGAGTGTCTCGGATTACTCAGTGTGGTCCACATTCCCACCTGTAAACAGACGATGTGCATCAAATTGGAAAATACTGTAAATATTTTCTTTGCCTCCGTGATGAAAGAGGATAACCCAAGCAGGGCGAAAAGGAAGTAGAAAGGAACATAGTCGCAAAAGCTTATCTCTAAAACATTCTTCACTACTACCTAGAGCCTCTGCATTCTCTTTCCCTGACGCATTTAAAGCACGTACTTTTGAGTTGACTCTTAACCCTTGGGCTGATTCAAATATGTAAATCATCAGCCCCTCCACTTTGTAATGAATAAAATTGTATTTCTGGGCCAATTTTATTTGATTTTTCACTTTTTTTTTTTTTTTGCAAGTTCTTGTTTGTCCATGTTTGCAAAACGTAATGATTTCATTCATCGTAGGGAATTGGTACATGCACATAACACATCTTAATTCTTCATTGTACACTCTCTCTGCTCCTCCCTCCAGACTTCCTTGGAATAAATATCATTCTTATCACATGTATGCATTCTTACATTTACAAGGTTTGGATATGAGTGACACAGTTTAAGGCAAAATATGGCAACAGGTTCTAGCACACGTCCCTGAGAACAAGTTCTAGATGTGCACAGTTAGCAGTCTGATGTGCTGATGCTTAAACTCTCTGGATTACCCTATGAAGCACAGGCAGTCATAGAACTCCTGGTGGTATTTGGGCTATTTCAATGGTATTCTGCCCATCACCTGTTATACGAAGAAGGTGCTTAATGCAGGGGCTCACACTGCAAACTCTGCAGTCAGATGTCTGACACTAAAGTCGACTCACTATGTAGTACATGTGGGTTTGGGGCAAGTACATGTAATTGTTCTCAGTTTCTGCATATGTAGGACAGATGCAGTCACAATACAGAGTTTTCATACCATGGCTTTGGCTTTGTTGAGGGGTGTGTGTGTGTGTGTGTGTGTGTGTGTGTGTGTCAAACATATCTCAAGACAGGACCTGGCACATAGTAGGCATTAAATAGATAGCTGCAGTTGCATTTGTTAGTAATTCATTGCAAAGAATATTTTCTGCTTTTAGTGTATCTGTTTCTTTTTGTAAGAACAAGTCCATTTTGTCTCTAACTTGTACACTGAGAAACATGTTGGTCCTATTTTGAAGGTCATGATACACAGTGTACTAACTAGTTTTATTCCCTAATTATTTTGTTATGAAATTTTGTTTTTATATAACTAAGAAGAGTGCTTTTGACACTCTCTTTATTAATATCTACATGTATTACTTTAGAATAAAAAATAACTCAAATTTTATTTATTATTCTGCTTGCTTGTCTCCATTTTTCATTACTGAATTGTCTTATTTTTGGTACAGTTAGACTTATATATCTTAATATAAATAGCATTTCAAGTATTTAACAATATTCAAATATTCTTCCCAATATTTACTTGAAATTTTTCCAAAATAGATATCGAGTCTTTTAATAGGAAATAATTAGCCTCTAGTCACTGGCATATCTGAATAGACATCTCAGAAGCCAGGAGGCCAGTTTCTGTAGAAAGGTTTTGTTCTCAAGAAAGAAAGAAATAAGGAAAGAAAGAAAGAAAAAAGATATTAGTTCAATAAAATTTCCCTATAGATTTTTCCCTATAGAACAATGTTTTGCACTGTGAATAAGTAAGGAGGGAAGGAACCTCCGCTGCTCTGATAACTGTGTTTTCAAAATGAAAAGCCCGTATCCACCTATCTCATTGCGTCACTGAAATAGAGGTCCTGGAAGCAGTAGATTACTATTGATCTACTCTCTTTGCTCTCCAAATCCTAAATAGTGCTAAATAGTACCAAGTTATGCTACTGTGAAAATTTGCCAGTAGGAAGATAAGGCAAAGATTCATAGTAAGGGGACAACATAAATAACTATTCTGTATGAACATTTAAGGCTGAGAACATTGGATATTTGTAGAGGAAAATTCAAATTGTTGATGGCATGATTTGAAACATTTAATTAACCAAACATTTTCTGTGTTATATTTGTGAAAAAGTTTAAGGCTATATCATTCATTAAAAGTCTTCACATGTTACACTGACTTAGCACAAATTCAAACTACACTTTTGTATTTTCCATATGATGATAGCCCCAATCATAATTGTAGGATCAATAATATAAATCAATTGTCAATCAAATTTCCCTTGTTTTGGGGGCCAGTTATTTAGCTTAGCAGTATAAGCACCTTCCTGGCGAGTGCAAGGTCATGAACTCAGTCCCCACTACCAAAAAAGAAATTCTCTTGTTTTATCTATGCTGAAATTCTTGAGAAATGTAAATACATTCAAAAGGTTTTATAATCTTTTCAAAATAAGAGTTAACGTCTGGAATATATGAAAAATTTTCCAAAATTAACCCCCCAAAACAAAAGATAAAATGAAAAAGGAGAAAAGTGAATAAAATAGATATTTGTCAAAAGTAGTTAAAATGAACAGAAAGTATATGAAAAAATATGCAACATCTTTAGCCACTAGGGAAATGCAAATTAAAACGACACTAAGATTCCACCAATCAGTATGGCTATCATCAAGGACATAATGAATGCTGCTAACGATACACATGAAAAGAAACCCACTACCTTGTGGGTGGGAATGAAAAGTACTTCAAGTGCCATGAAAATCAATATGGAGTTTCTTCAACAAACTAAAAATAGAAATACCATTTGACTCAGCTATACCACTCTTGGGGACATACCCCAAAAGAACTCAGAACTGCACACTACAGTATGAGCTGCACACCCCTGCTTATAACATTGCAATTTGCAGTAGCTGAGCCTTGGAAACAGCTTCGAGGCCTGTCAATAGATGACTGGGATAAAGCAAATGTGGAACATACATACAATGGAATTTTACACAGTCATGAAGAAGAATGAAATTGCATCATCTATAGGCAAATGGATGGGTTAGAAATCATCATTTCAAGTTAAATTAGCCAGATCCAGAAAGCTAAATATTGTATGCTTGTCTTATATGAGAAATCTTAACATACATAAATTAATAAATAGATAATTTTTCAAAGTAAGACAAAACAAAAAACTAGGTGGTAGACTGCAGGAGACCAGGAAAGGACGAGAGGTAACAGTAGCAGTGGGACTGAAGTTGATTAAGATATCGGGGAATGTTAACATGCATTAATATATTTTTTTAAAGAGAAAAAGTATACCCTTGGGTGCTGTAAGTTCCTAATGTAATTGAGGACACTTGAGCTTCATTGTTTGTGAAAATAAATGGCTTCTTTTGATCCACGCGTCTGGTAGTTTACCACGGAACACTGAGTTTCCAAGAAATCATTGAAAGTAAAGTCAAGTACAAAATGAACCTCTGACAACAGAACAATACAGAAAAGATTTAGTATTGGACAGAATAGATATGTACACAGCTATAAAGGCAAATTAAAACACAGTGATGTTCAAAGAATGAAGCTGAAGGGGTAAACAAAGAAACAAAAAAAAGAGCATGACAATGTGAATTTGAAATGATCTGATTGCTTTAGATTACAGCACAGTTACAACTGTGCTGTGACACCCCTGTCCACTGTGACACCACACCCCCCTGTAATTTCAGTGTCTTGGGCAGGCTTTTTCACAGTCACCCTGAACATGCCCCCCATGACAGTTACCTGATTCTTTCTTCTCTCAAATGCATTTGTATAAGTCAGTGTGACCAGCATAAGGTTTATTTAAAATCCAGGAAAACAGAAGAGATTTGTGGATGAGATATAAGTGCCAGTCACACGAGTTTGAAACAGGCTGTTTTGTAAATCCTGCAGAGAAGAAAAACACCTAGTTGGAAGCTGTGCTTCTGCACTGAAAAGAGCTGAAAATTAAATACAGATTGTTGTGCTCATTAGCTATGTGCGTGACTATCACAAAACACCTGAGCTGATTAACTTAAAAAGAGAAAAGGCTTACTTCAGCTCACAGTTACAGAGTTTCCAGCCTATGGTCAGCTGGCTCTTTCACTTTGGGGTTGGGGTGGCCCAATACATCAGAACAGGAGATTGAGCAGAGGAAGTCCGCTTACCTCATTGGCAAGAGGAAATAAGGATTCCAAGATCCTCTTCAAGGCCACATCCCCAGTGACCCATTTTCTCCTAGGAGAGTTTATCTCTTAAAGATCATCTCCCAGTGAGATCACAGGCTGGGAACCAAGTCTTCCACATGACCCATGAGGGAACCCATACCAAAGCATAACATGAACTTCAGAATCCTGTCAGGATAACCAACAGGAATCTCTCCAACATACTCCCTGGGCTCCAGCTCCTCTACATACTGGAGCCTTAGTCTTCTCTCCATTGCTCCCTCCTTTCCTTGGTCACTATCTTCCCTGCACCCCTATCAAGGTATCACAGTCAACTGGAAACTCTTCCCTGTGAGGAGCCATATTGCTGACTTTCAACCTGCATGATTATTCCATGAAATTTCACAGCAGGAAATGGATGCTCACTGCATGCTGTCTTTTACATATGTGGGATTCCTACATCCTCAGAAACACACGCTGTCCATCTCAGACTTACTTCTGGGGAAACTCAGGTGAGATCCATCAACATGTCAAGATGGAAAACAGTATTTTAACATGTCAGAGTTGGGAAAAAAACAGACAAGGTTTGAACCCAAGTTTAGCTGGATCAAGAGTGCAAGTCTGTTTCACTTTGAATGTGCTTCAAAGGTTAGGAAATAAGTACACATGTATTTATTTTTAGTTTTATTTTGCTTTCTTTGTATTAGCATATGTTTGTAGTACACAATAAATATATTCATCAGTTGGTACATGAACAAAGCATCTTAATTTTTTTGTCTCCTACCACTCTCTTCCCTCACTTCAAATTCTTGGTGCCCTTTCCATTTGCAAAAGCTCTGAAGAAACATGTTTGAGACTGCTAATGAGGTCAAGTATTTCCTCCAGAACAGAAATGAAGGAAAGATAGCATGTGCCCTGGGCCTCACCGGCCACATCCTGGCTGTTCTGGTGTGTTCCATAGCCTGGGCAGAAATTCAGGAGCTCAGACCTCTCCCTGCATCCCTGCAACCCAGGAATGAGAATCTGCATTTCAGTGAGGTCCTCGCGTCATCTTCCAACAATTCTGAGTTCCAGAGACACTTGTCCCAGATTTAGGAGCAGTCTTCTGACATGAGATGTCAGCGCCCAGCAAGGGGTGATAGTCTCTTAGAGACTCGGTCCGGTACGTGCGTGTGCAATCCTTGGGCGAACACACGGACAGTTGAAAGCAGAGCTGGCTGTCTCGCCTCTGTAGCTATGCTGACGTGATGGGTAGAACCACCCATGCTCATTGACAAAATCTAAAAGGGAAGGAGTAGGAGCGCGGTGCATCCGCCTCCGCCCCCAGCCGCCAGCCCGCCATCTGAATCAGGGCGGCTCTGGGACTTCAGTCCCTCTGGTGACAGGGACACGTCGTGCTGGAATGAGGAGAAGTGCAGGTGTGGCTGCCCCCTCCCTCCCTCCAACTCGCTCACTTACCTCAGCTCTGCCGCAGGCTCTCTTTCTATTTCTGGATGGCTAACTCAGCCAGCGCTGAGTAATGCTCAGCTCCATGGTAGCACCCACCTTCCAAAGGCCTGACAGCCAGCTTGCATCATCTCTGCTGTATCCAGTTTATGTTTCCACTCTGGCAAAAGTGAAAAAAAAAAATTCTTCAGAAAGTGTCCTGATGCTGCTGAGGCTATGGTGGAATGCAGTGGTTTTCAAAATGTGTCCATGCAAACCTTTCCAGATCTTGCTAGAACGCAAACTCTGATCTGCACAGGACATGGATCAGATCCTGGTTTCCAACAAACTGTCGGGGCAGGTGGTGGGGTGGGGAGCAGATTCTTGGCATCCTAACCAATTACAATGATAATTAATTGAAATGTTGGTAAAAACTGAGTTTGAGAAAAATCATTAGGAAGTAATATTGTATATTATCACAGGCACTGTAACTTAATAACTTATATGTACAAAGACTAGAAACTAAAATTATCTGTTATCTACATCCAGCCCTGCCCTATCCCAGGATGAATTCCTAGCACAGGGCTCAGCCTCTGTCCCTCTCTTTTCTGCATCTTTGCTTTCTTCTGTTTCCCCTGGACCACAAGCTTTCCCAGGGTCCTTTCCACAGGTCATACATGGTGGTGGTGGTGGTGGGCACTCTTTACTTGTGTTTATTTGTAGACAGCATTATAAGGAGTACTGAGAGTTCTCAGAGAATTCTCAGACCACTGCACATAAAATCCGCGTGGGAAGTTGAGCTGTGTGCTAACTTCCAGTGGACAGCAGCCATGGGCGTCTTTCTCCTGTAGGTGCCTTGTGGGTGATTTTTGACCTGGCTTCAAGATGCTGTCCCAGACCATTTCCTATACATAGAAGCAGATATGATATCCAGCATCCCTATATTGTACTTGGATAACTGATTCGATAAATGCCAAGACAGATACACAGTCCAGGATAAGAATCTGTCTATTTTCATGCAGGGGAGGGAGGAAAGAACAAGGGCATTTCTACCATGCTTGTTTGGAAATCATACCTCAGCTTTACACCCTAATTCAATACTTGGAGGTGCTTCAACATCCTGATCCATGTGGGATAGGTGTAACAGCTACAGAGAATGAAGCCTAAGGAATAAGAAAGTCACAGGGTTTCTTACTTATTGGAGTGTCAGATGCAGGATAGATTCTTGGGAGGCTGTGCATAACTAATATTTACTTCTAGAAAATGCTTTGGGAAACAACCTCACAACATTTTCCTGTGCGGTGTTTTATGTGGTAGATAATACCCTTGTGATTATGCACAACACAGAAAGAGCAACAGGAACAAATCAAAACACAAATCTGGAATCATCAGCACACGTGAGAGAAGCCTATTACTCATGGTGGCCGATACTATTAACGATTTTCCTTTAGGCTTTTCAAGTAACTCATTGGACCAGAAAGACATTTCAGTGATTGTAAAAAAAAATGGTCAGTGAACTCTTTTTTGCTGTTTGCTTCCACCTCGTTCAACATTACAGTGGATGAAAACACATTTTCATGATGGGGTGGAAGAATGACTGTATCCTGCTGCCTTCAGTGCCCTATTATTAAAAACCTTAAGATCTGCAAGATAAAAAGAGTTTCTGGAAAATGGTTCATGTTGGGAGACATATTCAAACACAGACAAAAGCACCAGGGAAATCAACATCTTTTACCATATTAGTTTGTATTTACGTCCCAGAAAATTACATGTTGCAGTCTCCAGAGTTGTTATTCGCTACCACCAAAGTTCAAATATGACTACACATTAGAAGAAAGGATGGAGATACACTTTTCTTCAACTTGTGGCACCATTCCTGCCTGGTGTTGGATGTGGGTACAGGGCAAGCAGGTGAGACCATTCAGCCTGCAGAGATCTCAGCTGCCCCCAGGTTCTGATGCTTCAGAGATGCACACCCTGAGTGTCTCAGGTCTGCTCTAGAGAAAACACTGAGTTTTCTTTATTCCCTTGCCCACCCCACCCCGCAGTGGCCTGCTGGAACCAACATATACCAGCTAAGAGAGATGGGCAAGTTTTCCTTTTTTTCCCATTTTTAGAATTTGTAAACCAGCTGATAAACATAGTAATGATTTAAAATAAAGTTATATAACTTTTAAATAAACTATACGAATAGCAAACAATTATTACTTAGGTGTTATGGTTTGCCTTCTTGTGCCCTCCCCCTACCAAGCCTCATGTAATCATGGACACAGCTGAGTCTAGAGTTTGTGATTGGTTCATTGTCTAGCACTGGGATTGGTGGTGTGAATGTTGTACCCGCCCAGGGGTGGAGCCAACAGACAGTGCAACGGCATGGGAGGGGGGGGAGAAGGTGTGTCTTCTCTCTCTTGCTGGTTCGGTGTAGCTGTTTGCAGCAGCCATGAAAGGCTGACCACCCCCAGCCATCCCACCCTTATAGCCAGCTGAATATGGACTGAAACCTTCAAGAACTGTAAGAAATAATCCTTTCTTTTCCTAATTTTGAGCATCAGATACTTTGTCTCATCAACAGGAAAGAAAAGTACGACATCAGGTATATCAAATCTCAATCATTTTACTAAACTTTGCTAATATACATGTTTTGTGTGATTCGCATATTCCATGTCTTCTGTCTATCAGTGCAGCAGTATATGGGGAAGCATTTGCCAAAGAACAGGTGACAGTGTCCAGTTACATTCTATTATGTGAAAGGCATTTCATTTTATTCTGTGTGAGTAGCACTGGGAATTGAACCCATTGCCTTTGCACTCAGCTGCATCCCCAGCCCTTTTAAATTGATTGGTTGATTGATCGATTGAGATAGGGTTTCACTAAGTTGTCCGTGCTAGCTAAGTTGCTCAGGCTGCCCAGGCTCCAACTTGTGATCTTCCTGCCTTACCCTCTCAGAATGCCAGAATTATAGGCTTGCATCACTAAGAAATCGAAGTTTTAAGGTAGGACACATTGAAAATGTAACGAAACGTTGAACTTATAATGTCCTTGGAAGAGTGAGAATGTTTTTATGATCAGCAATAGCAAAGTCACATCTTAAACCATGTGTAGAGACTATTTAGAGCAGTGCACACTGCAGTTCTTCTCCAGGGACTCTGGTAATTTGGGGAGGTGACAGTATTTTAACTGGTGTGACGGCATCAGAGTTGTGTTACACATGTTTCACAACAAAATCTCCATAAGAGAATGGTTTCATTTGCATAGCTTCTGGTTTTCATGGTATTAATATTCTAACCTCAGCAAAGTTGAAATACATAGGAAATTACCCAATCTTTGGCAAATGCTGCTGCATAGACTGCCTTATCTATCTATAGTACTTATCATCCACTTACTACATAATATTTACTCTTTTAAAACTATGTCCAAGTTCTATGATAGCAAGGAACTCTGTCTGATTCCTTGATATGTCTCAAATGCATAAAAGCATGCCTCGCATATATTAAGTACTCAAGAAAGAGTTGAAAAATAAATTACATTTGCAAAAAGCAATATAAAGTTGAGTTCCAAAAGAAGAAATATAGTTTGCCAATTCTGTGGCTTGAGAAAGCTCAACAACTTTCTGGGTCTATTTCATTAGGTAGTTTAACTAGAAAACTAGATAGCTAGATAGCTGGATAACTAGATGGATAGATAGATAGATAGATAGATAGATAGATAGATAGATAGATAAATATGATGAGGTGATGCATGGATAGATGGGTGGATGGATGGATGGACAGAGTATTTAACATCCATATGAGATAATATAACATGATATAAATCACCGTGGGTTGATAACTTGTGCATATCTCTAAAACATTACTATCTGTTCCTCTCACTGGCCCTTGCACCTAACTAATGCTCACTGGAAGACTATACAGAGCTTTATCTCTGAGTATCATCTTGCAGAATGCCCACATCCTCTGCCCCAGGAGGTAGGATGAGAGTTAGATTCCCTGGGGATCTTGGGAGAAGCTGTAACTAGGTTGTCATGACAACCTGCTAAAGGTATAATGCATTTGCAGCCAGCAGGATGGAACTCAGGGCAGCACACTAGATGTGGCCCAGGCTGCAGCCCCTGACAGTCTCCTAACAATCTCATAGGGAAAGCAGCTCGCACAGAGATTAACCTTGAGATTTCAGCTAGGAATGAGCTAACACATTGCCTGCTTGCCTGCCTCTTTTTAGCTTACTAAACATAAGACACCCAGACATCAAAAGCATGCATGAAATTATTCAAATTCCAGCATTTGGGAACCCAAGGGTTCATAAGTTTTCCTCAATTATACCCTACTTTGAGCAAGAGTGGGTAGAGTGGTCAGGGACAGCTTGCGGATGGCCTCAAATGTTGTTCTGACCTGCTTCAGAAAACACGGAGGTTGTCAGTGGTTCTTTTCCACCTGATAAGATTCATTTGAAGTGCCTGAGAGGATGCCTTTCTGCTCACAGTTATTCAAGACAGATTTTGTAAAAATTAGTATATGTGTGTGATGTAGTTTAATAAATCCCTCCCAAAATACACACACACACACACACACATAAAATCTTGATCCTTTTAACCCGCTACACTCACGCTGTTTGCCCCCAGCCCATGCCCTAATCCCCTTCTCTATCTCCAAAATGTCCATCTCCTTATTGCTATCTTTCCTTTATTTTGTTTATATTTTGAATTTCATCTGATAGTTAACCTTCTGTGTCTGATTTATTTCATTTAACTTGTGGGGCAATGTCTGGCTCCTTCCCAAAATGATGATGACAGGGAAACATTGAATCAGGACATCAGGGCAGCCGGGACAGCATAGTTAAAGACCCTCGGGAAAGAGGACTGCAGAGCTGTTACAGAAAGCAGCAAGGATGACAGGATGAGTGTGTTCAAGCGAGGGGGAGGATTTCCAGGGGGATGTGTGGCCATGTGTCTTTGTAATGTTTTCTCTTATTTTAAGCATATTGTTCCATCACATCTCAAACTCTTTAAGAAAATAGAACCCATTCTTCATTTTTATTTTGCAAGCCATGTTTACAGTACATAAAGATCACATTCCTCAAGGAGAGTTGGCACACGCACTTAACACATCTTAATTCTTTTTCCACCCCCTTCCCTCCCTATCTTGGACCTTGTCCCACTTGT